AATAAGCCTTTTTCTCACTGTCATTATCTCTCTCTCTCTTTCTTTTTAAAACAAACAGTGCAACCAGGTGGTTTTCCTGACAACTATCCTGTTTGTTCCTTTCTGGAATGACACCAAGTGTCAGTGGGAAGGCAGACATTCTTCTCCCAGACTGTTCGCATTTCAGCTCTAAAGCCCTCCCCTCCTGATAATCGAGGAAGATACGCCACCTGTCTCCAGGCATTGCCAGATGTAACGTGGCACTGGAGTGAACCTGAACCAGGAAGGATGGCGGGGCATCAACAAGACAAGAAGCTTGAACAGACACAGAGAGAACTACTTCTCTCATAGAAATCCCTTTAAATGAGCTCCCTATGGAGCTGTCAGAGCCTCCTGAAGGTGCAGCAGAGGAGAAGAGGTGGGTGTGAAGAAGGGGATGAACAGTAACCGGGCAAAATTTGTATTGAAGAAAAATGACATGATCCTCCTTTTTCTTTGTCTGGCACACTCAGAGTTTTATTCACATTCTAATTCAGAGCTACAGTTCAGCTGGCAGGCACCATATGGAGGCCCGAGTAAAGCTTCGCAAGGATGGGCAACATCACAGGACAGTTTCAGAGCTACAAGGTTAACCAAGACAGACTCCCAGACCAGAGCTGGTGACCATGTGCTGCTGACAACAGATCTTGTTGCAGGGGGTCAAGGGTTGTTTTGAGGTTATTTGCAATATCATTTGGTTTTAGCTAATGTCTCCTGAGAGTCTGAAAAATGGCAGATGGCTACAGACAAAGACTGACTTTGATGAAAATTGGATGAGTTAAGATGGAAGAAGGGACTGACAGTTTATCATAAAGATACACCAACAACTAGAGGCTGTGAGGAAGAAAGAGGGCAGATCTCCCACTGAGCTATGATTTGAATCTTCCTTCCCAAAGCTTCCCAGATGTTACAGCAGGTTCACAGCACCATGGCAGAGTTATGGCTCTGGGCTGTGGAAGACTTCATCCTTTCCTTTCACCGACTGACTGACATACTGTACACAGCCTAGCTTGCTGAAAACCCATGAAACAACACAAGTGAAGTGCCTACACATACAAATATTCAAACACAAAAATTAGGTAATGACTTTCCCAACTATGAAGGGGTTCTGTAAACAACAGAACAGACTGTGAAATAATGCAATAGGAAGTAAAGCACTGAATGATGAAGACATGGATGGGTAAATATATCCTACTGCATTTAGCTTTGAAGTTGATTCGAATTTCCGCACTGCATAAACGTCTCAACTGTTAGTAGCTTTAAAATAAGAGTCAGTTTATTTTTTTTTACCATGATATCAAACTTTGCCCAAAGTTTAATGTGATACCGCAAGTTCAGCTCCTGTAGACTTGAAAGGTCAGTGTTGCTGTAAAAAGTTTGTGGATTCCAATGCATTCAGTGTACTGTATCTATAAACCTTCATGCCCTCTGTTCACTCTGTGTATTTAACCATGCTTTGGTTAAAATATGGCCACCTGGAACACGCTGTGCATGCATATGAAGGTCAGCAAGGTGAATTAAGCCACAGGAGTTGTCTGAGAGATTTAGTCAGTTTTTCAAGTACTTTCACTAAGAATTGTTACTGCTTGCGTCTGACAACAACACTGATGAGAATGGTCAGAGTGATCTTAAAGAGTACAGGCCTGGAAACCAAAACAATGAGCTGAAATAAGCTAAATTGCTCCATAGAGCTGAGAAGAACAATACGTTTCTGTGGCTTGTATAGGTTTGTCAATGCGAACAAACCTTTCATCTCCAAGTATCCATGTGTCCCATTGTGAATAGAAAATCTTTGACTATAACTTTAAAACATTGGTAAATATGGAGGTAATCTTCAAATATAACCACATTTTCTATGGACTCCATGAAACCAAAAATCTCAATCTCTTTCAGTCATACACACAATTTTCTTCAAATCATTTTGTCATGTTCTTTCATTCATTATTATGTGGATAATTTGCAACAGATGTAATGTGGTGCCATGTTGAGTGTGGAATGTTATTATTGTATGGTGCTTTGAGCAAGCGAGCTTGCCAAAGTAGGGTCCCACAGAGCTACAGTATCAGATCAAGCGTCTGTCCCTTCATTAACCTCTTTATCCATCTCATTTCTTTTTGTCTGATCTCTTGATTTCATCCCCAGTATCTGTTAAACATCTCACCTCCAGTTGAACTTCTCTGTACTGCTCTTGAACATAAATTATCCTTTTATCCCTTCTTCATATTTAAATTTTCTATGCTCTTTTGTGTTCTTTGTTTAATTCTGTATCACAAGTCTGTATTTATTGTTAGTTTTTAAGGTTTAACAAAAATACTAACAGCATTTTAGAATGCAGATATATATAATGCAAGAGCCTTGTAAAGATTGTGTTAAATTGTGCTATTATGCCTCAGAGACACACTCGCATCAGATTCAAGCTTATTTGTATTTTCATCCTCTTTTCAAAAGTTATTACGAGATCGATATTCCATTTTTTGGTAAATACACTGGAGATGAATCAGTCCTGACAGACGACACATGACTATACTAAATCAGACCATAATTGCAAATGGATGAGAAGAATCAATCTGAGAGGATATCTAGAAATGTGTGTGAAGTGCTGTGAGCAAAGCATGAGAGACAGTCCTGAATGTACAGTGAGAAAAGTCGGGCTCTTACTTTCTCACCTCTGGCCCTCATCTTTCCTTTTCACCACCATACTTCACCACACCCATCTCCTCCCTTTGACCAGTCACAGCATCAGCATCTTTTCATCCCTACCCATATCAGCATCTTTCTTTTTTTCTTGTAAGATTCCTGCTAGTATGGACTCAGGCACAGTAGTGGCTTGGGCTAAATACAAACATCATAGCATGGGCATAAGAACCATGTTATTATGCTGATGTTTTGCATGTACTGCACTGTATAATGATTACCATGTTAGCATATTAACATTCTGTAATTAACACTAAACACAAATGACAGCCCATCCAAAAGTTGTTGAGATATTTCACTTAAAACAAGCAAAGGTTAGCATCACGGTGGCGCTAGAGGAAAGGTTAAGATGCTATCTGAACCATCAAATGAGAAATATTTCAGTCTGCTTGTTTAGAGAAGTTTTATGCTGATGACCTTTGCAGCCTTTTATGATAGACCTTATTCTGTTCAGAGGTATGAAAGCGGTCTAAAATGCAGAGACATGGCTTAGCCTACTTGCATGAATTTTACTAAAGTGTCAATTGTCATTGTGTAGATTTTTTGATATAAATGTTCCAGTCCACACTTTAACCTTTATAACCTTTGCCCTCAGCTACCTTATTACTACCTCATCCCACTTTTCAGTTCATCGTTAATCCCCCAGCCCCATCACTCCTTCAGATACCTTCCAACCCATCCTGCCTTTATCACCTCGGAATACCCTCCAACCTGATGAACCTCAGGTGTTTTATGAAGCTACCAAATTAGCTTGTCCTTATACATTAGCATTGCTCTATTAACAGAAGTGTCCAACACCAATTTAACGGTCTCTCTATACCTGTCAAATGTATTCCTTCTGCCAGTTTAAATTTGTTCAGCATGCTTGATTGGCACGAATGTCATAAATAATTTTCTCACACTGTATCAAGGAGGAATGAGCTAAAAATGATAAGATAGAAAACAATACATTAGCACACAAAACAAAGTGAGTTTGAGTGTCCTAGTGATTCACTGGTTTGAAGCACATGCCAAGTAACCATGACGTCCTTGGCTTTAGTCAGGCCAGGGATGTCGCCTGTCATCTTCATTTCTCCCTCCTATATTTCCTGTCAGACTCTTGTGACACTAATTTACTAAGGCCAGCAATATTACTAACTCCATAAATACTTAAGAAAATCAATTTACACCTTAACGAAAGGTCTGTTTGCTTTGTGGCGCCAAAAGCCTCAGTAGGTTTACATGCATCAGGTGTTGCACTGAATTAGCATAACAGAATTTTAACATTTATTATTGTATCTTAAATGACTGGATAGTAGATTATTCAGCCTTATATTCTTATGTGACTGTTCCTCTTGTTCTTTCATTGCAGTTGATTACTCACATGGTTCACAGTTCCGGATTTACATGGAAAATGCTTTGTCTAAACAATTGTATTTGCTATTATGCCATTCTATGACGTTAGATGAATTGATTATTTCTTTAAATGTCACCTTACAATCAGGAGCCCAGGTTCTGCCCAGGTATGCTTCTTACATTTTATGTTTATTTCCATCTTACTTTTCACATTGCTGTGAGGTTGCAGGGCGCTCAAATAATCTGTGATTCCATACACAGGTGATGTGCTAGAAATACACTTTCAGCTCCCAAAGGTGGGTTGTGAAAAGACTGAAATGTACATCAAAAACTAACTTATTTATATCATTCCTGTCAAGCATTTAACTTCAAAGCAGACTGTAGAGAGCAGAAATCAGCAGAAATCAACAAACACCAACAGCACCAGGAACATGAACGATCAGAAACTGTGAGCTTGTCACTCTGCACTTCATTTATGTGTGTGAATGAAGCTGGTGTAAGAGCTCTTGCATATCAGTTTATAGCAAAAACAACTTGATGCTTTGCCTGAATTAACACAATATTTTGTTTTGGTCTGAAGCACTTGTGTTAAGAAAGGCTGGACAATTTAAAACAAATGGTTATGTTGTTTTTAATTTTTGCAAAAGGCTCTGCACTTCAGGATGCTCTGTGAAAATGAAGAGCACTGTAGAACATTCAGATATTTTTTGTCCCTTGTTTGTGTACTGAATTACAAGGGAACACATGAAAAACAACTACAGCAAAAGGTATGATGCAATTCCACTACAATGCTCCAGACCTCGTCTTATTTGGGGCATGAACTCAGCCATGATGCTGCTGCTAAATATAGGTCACGATCTTGAAGAGTATGGTGCTCAAAGGGAAACCTGAGTGGATTAGCCAGAAGGCACTTAGTGCATTTATCTTAGAATACAAAATTGTAAAAAAGAGAAACAAAGGGCACTCCTCATTTATCAAATGTGTACCTACACATTTTGAACATTTATTTGTAAAAAAGTGACAGGAAACACCTGAAACCCAGATCTGTACAGAGAAAGGAAAATGTATGCACATTTCCCTTTGATGACTCATAGCCATCACTGAACACAGAAAACAACCACCCACAACACTCATCGTAAGAGACAAAACAGGCTCGCAAGAAGCCTGACAAATCTATTGCTGAATCCAGGTCATTAATAATTTACTGAGGCAGTTTATTGATGGCTGGATAATAAAGAGTTTACCGAAGCCATCATTCAGAGATTCAAAAGGAATAAAGACCGCCCCAAATTGATAAAACTACACACAGCAACTAACAATTGCACTTAAATGTCCACATAACTCACAGCAGGAACGCATGGTCTCAGCCTGCCTCATCCCAATTTAGCCGAATTGAACTGCTCTCCTCCTGCTTGACCGTTTCTCACATGCACTAGCACATAAACCCAGAACACAGTTACTCTCATAAAAACATAATTACTCTCACACACCCCATCTTGTTACTTACTTCTACTAAGGAGCTGCAGGTTGCGGACCTCTTCTCTGACCTGCAGCTGGAGGACTTGTTGGAGGACTTCCTGCCTCAGTGTCTCCTGGACGATTCCCATCCTCTCTAGCTTCTCTCCGTTTAAACGCAGCAACGCCCGTCCTATCAGGAGAAGGCATGGATGGGTTATGTTAATCCACTATTTTGGGAAAAAGCACAGCATTAATATTATCATAAGAACCCAGTAATGTGCTCTTATTTAGTATATGATAAATTATTTAATTTTCTAATAATTTAAGAGTCAATGTATCTTCGTACAGCTAAGCGTGAATATGTTACATAGGACGTATGTGAGTAGGCAAACTTCCTTCAACAGGATTAAAATTGTCTCCGGGTTTTAACCAAAAAATCCAGGTGGGCATCTTTAGTGCCCCCAATTTGGACATCTTCTGTGCAAATTGGGGGCCCCTTCTGTATTATCTTGTAGATTCACTATCTAATTTACATTTAAGTGCATGGTACTTATTTTGTGCAGTGCAACCTTCCAGTTAGTTGCAGTAAAGAGGCTAGCATGGCAAGGATTACTCAGGCTGGCTGTTTTCTCTGGCTCAGTTTTACTACACAGTTTGGCAGTTAACCCTGGGGATGCACACATTTAACATACCATTACCCACAGCAAACAGCTTTTACAAATAAGCTGCACTCACACAAACCCAAGGGCAATATGAAAAAATGAGACATGTATGTGTGGTAATACAGGCACACCTATGGGTAGGAGAGCTACGTCCTTCACCAGTGCAGACAGAAGAGGAATCCATCATACCTGCAGCAGCACTGTGCAATGTCCAAACTATAATTAGACTCATTACTCTTGCAGCTCACTATCCTTGCTTTCATTCCTGTTTCCTTCTCCTGGTCATCAGTACATCCTCTGTATCTCACTCTCTCTTGTAATTTTTGTATTGGTGCATTGTGTATGTAGAGCAGAGGAAAAGCTGCCAAGTTATGTCAACCCCAATCCTAACCTTAAGCCTAAAACCAGGTTTTAACCATCAAAAAGCCCTTTGAAATTGTGAGGACTGGCTAAAATGTCCTCACAACGTTGGCATTGGAAAAAATTGGTCCATACTTTTTATTAGTATATTGTTTATATTGATGATAGCCTGTCTATTACTTTATTGCTGAGTGCCTTGTTTCTATCCCCTTGCTGCTATAGCTTTGTGAAGTTCCCTGTTGTGGGACTAATAAAGGTTCTTCTTATCTTATCTTATAATTAAGACTCTCTTTGCATTTTGACCTTAGCTAAAGTGAGAGTGAGAGAGAAACAGCAGCAGATTTTTCCACTGATTAAAGATTAAAATGAACACAATGAAAGCAACCTATGTGAACAACCTAAACCTTTTGCTAACATACTTTATCCACTCAAAAGTAGCTAACATGCTATCATAGGGCCAGTGTATTACGCCACTGGTGTTGTGACACAGTTCCACTCAACATAAATAATTAAAGATACATGAATTGTTCTGGTTAACCTCCAGCTAACGGCCAGCTAACTGCTAGTGTTTAACTTGCAGAATCCTATCAGTTTATGATCTATGTTCTGGCGGGTTTCTCTGTGGAACTGTCTAGGTTCTGTCTGTTTTCTTATTTCATGTTTCTATATGAGTGTATGAGGATGGAACCCATCTATTTGCTGGAGTACATGTTCAATCAGCATGAATCTGTTATAAATAGCAGCGGAAGTGGGTTAATGTCTGAAGCCTCCGCTCTATTAACGACTCTGTCAATCTGTCATAAAACACATACACACACACACTGATTGTTCTTTTATTTAGTCACTGTACTAATTAGCATGTCTGTGGGAAGTCTGTAACGAATGCAAGAAAAGAGAGGAAAGAAAGGAACAGAACAGAGGACGAGCAGAGAAAGGTAAATGAAAGAAGAATTACAATTCTATGTATGTCTTCTGTCCCCTTTGTGAACCCATGAAATATAAATGTCCTTAGGTCTTCATATTTTATAGGCTTTAGGGTAGAGAACAAATTAGAGCGTGTAATAGTGTGGGAGACTGAGGTGGGTCTGGTGTGACCCTCAGTGTGCTCAGCCCGGGACTGAGTGCTTCTAAAACCATCTATAAAGAAACATGTAGCATGAGCCATATCACTTACAGTAACATTTTTCATGCCCCCTAAAAGCTATACAATTACAATACTAAATTGCTTAAGCTTTTGTTATGCTAGTTTTACTGCGAGTCTTACTGGTCCATATTCTATTACTGAAACCTATTTTCCCACCGGTTTATGTGCCTAGACAGGCCTGGTCATGAGAGTCCTACCATGCTCTCAGATGTATGACTCAGCTGACTCATCTGCTGACCCATGCACTCTCACAAACCAAACTGCAGCTCTGTCTGTTCCAGTCCTCATTTTCACTTTTTATGTAAGTACTCCACTGTGCATATAACTGCATGTATTCTCTGGAGGTAAACTGAATTTCAGCTAGAAAAATAATTCCAATTAAAGTACTTATAAAAAATCATTATTGAATCCACATATATACAGTAGGAGGAAATGTTTGTTAACGAAGCTTTGTTACACCTGAGTGACTGATACTTTGTAGGCAGCGGGAAGCAGCAAAAATTAATTATTTTTGACATCCCAGTATACCTCTTTGCTCTCACTGGAACTAGGGAAGCAAAACAAGGACAGTCAGCCAGTCCTTGCATTACAACCAGATGTGCTGGAACAATACAGACAATAGCTACCTCCACTCCCTGGGAGACAAAGTCTTGACAAAGCACTTATAGGTCCCATAATGATTTCAAGGATTATGCATAACAGTATGTGGGTGCACATGTGGTTTAAAGACAGATTATTTACTTCTCCTGAGAGTGCAGGTGACCCCTGTTTCTAACACATAAAGTGAAACACCCATTTTGTGTGAACACAACTACCTAAGGGATACACAATGGTTTTCTATTTATTTTGTGCACAGTTACGGTACTTCTTTTAATGCACACTCCTGTCAGCGCCTACACACTCATCAACCTCTTCACCTCATCTCTCCTACAACTCTCTAGTGTGTGCTTGCCAAGAGCAGTATTGGTACATCCTAGAAAAACCACTGCCCTTGTCTGTCTGTGTGTTTGTGCATGTGTGTGAGACAAAAGCAGATGAATGGAGCTCAAACTAATTCCCTTCAGACAGACCTAATACATCTCCTAATAACTGCACACAGATAGGTGAAGTAGTGCTGTCAAAGGGAGGAAAGAGACACAAAAACAAAGGCTGTTTCAATAGAGATGTCTCCTCCCAATTTGGCCTCAAAATAAATTGCTTATTAACAATGTCTCGGCATAAATGGGGAGCAGTTATGCACTGACTAGGACAATAATGAGTTTTAAAACAGTCTGAAAAGCAATCCAAAAGGTAGAAAGACAGACTTCCTTATAAAAGAATAACTTTTAAATTAAACTGTTGTACACCAGTTCAATCCATATTGTCCCTGAAGGTCTACATGGTGTATTACATTTCTGTTTGCTTGTACTTTATATACTCTACAACCACATTCACTGCATTTCCCATTCAGTATGTCCTTGCTGTCTGCCCTATCTGTCATTCACACCTGGTATAAAACTATGATCTGCATCAGGATGTACTGCCTTGATAAGGAAAGTAGAACATTAATGCAGCAGCAGCTGAAATGCAATGTAGTGTATAAGATCCCATCTGGAGATGGTCTGGCTTGCTTTGTGATTGGATCTCACTCTGTAAATGCACAACATACATACAGTCATGAAAAAGTATCTGTACACGAGCTAAAGATAGCAGATGCTACTTTTACTGACTGAATGCTGAAGTCTTCAAACCTGCTAACCTCCTGTATGTTTGCAGTTTCTTATCACAGAATGTTGTTGGCAAAGCTAAAAAAAAAGAATAAAAACACCATGAGTGAATGCTACAGTACCATTATTCCAGCAACTAATCTGCTAACATTAAGTGTGATCTGAGCCATTACTTATCTATCCTGAAACTGCCACAGTTGGCACTGGTCTAGTCTGCTACTGTAGGTGCAAGAACTATCAAGCTCTTTGACTTAGAGCAACACTATGTAACTTCCAAAAGAAGAAATAAAACAATCATTCTTTAACAGTGAAACATTTAACTCATAAACAATAATACACACTCTGGTCCACTTCAATACATAGAGGAGTATTGCAGCCTATAATTGATTTGATCAATAGTCTATTATGGCTAATATACATTTGATACATAATGATACATGTTTTGATTTTCATTCATCAGGCTCACTTGTCAAATAAAGGACTTGGATCATGGGCTCTCACTCTCTGCATATGCTACTGTGGAGTAAATAAAAATTTAACTGCATTGCAAACATGGTCTGATGGTCTGTTTCTATCCAGCATCTGACTGAATTATCCAATTCTGTCAACAGTGACAATGTTAGGAATAAAGATAAAATGAATAAAAGATGATAGCATGGCTCTTACGCACAAGTTCAATGTAAAAGCAAGAGACAGTAAAGAAGCTACACAGATCTCCTCAGGCACCTTGTTCCACTGTAATGGTTTCCCTACCGAGAGACTGAAAGAGAGAGAGCTTTACTTTTGGGTCACTGAACTAAGGCGATATAGACACAGAATCCATGTTGGTGAGATCCGACATCCTTCTGTGTATGAAAAAGGCAGGGTATTTGTATGTGGAACATCTATTGATGTGATTCTTTGATACTGACCCACATCAACAACAAAACCACATATTCAGCCAATACTTGCACCAGAAAACACAGGGAATAATAACCAAGGTGAAATGAAATCCAGCTGGACACAAGTGAATACATGAGGAAAATTGGATTGGAGGCTCTCCCTCTCTCTGTTTGAGAATACACAAATAAAAATGATCATATCAGAGCTGCTGTAACTATGACAGCTACAGCATTCTGGCAATCTGTTCTCTGCTGCAGGGTCTGGTCTGTCAGGGCCAGGGATGTGTGTGTGCCTCACACTGTGGGGGGTGGTGACTTGGTTTACACGTTTAAGGTTAGACTAAGTCTCTAGAAACTGAATGTAAGACAATTTATAGTCCCCATGTGGAATGAAAACAAATGTGCGTGTGTATGTTTGAACACACCTGTTCATTTGTGTCTATTGTTGTTGTGGTGGTTTGTGTGTATATGCACCTGCATGCATTTGTGTGGGCTCACTATCAAACAAATGTGTGGGTGGGTAGGGTGGGGAGGGGTGCAGCTTGTTTATATATGCTTGTGGGAATGGAATACGGGGAGCACACTGCTTTGCGTGGACCGGAAGTCACTTGTGGGACCCGGAGGCTGGGCCCCACAACTAATTTGTCATATTTTATGAAAATGACAGGGTGTAAGGTTAGAGCAAATACCAGCTTTGGTTAAGGTTAGGGTAAGTCTCCTGAAAATGTAAGTGTGTGTACAGACCTTGTAAGTGACGACTGCAAAGATGGGTGTGTATGTGTGTGTGTGAGGTTGCTGTTTGAACTCAACACGTGATAGCCCACCCATTTTTATGCAGCTTCCCTTTATTCTCCTAAAATAGGCTACACTCCTTTTGTTACTTCACATGAATGCCTTTAAATCTCCTTTGGAGAGATTTGGGTGTAAACCTGTTTCCAGCTGAAAAGGCTAAGCTGTGGAACCAGGAACCTTAAAATAAAACTTTTGTGAGATTTGGTAAGCCTTTTATGGCATTGGTTTGCAATGTGTTAGTCCAAAGGAGCATCACTGCTGTGTTTATTGAAAGAAGCAGAGGTCTGAGGGTATTACTGTTAAACAGTGGTTATGCTTTAAAAAATTATTTCTGTATAGCTGTGTAAATTTAAAAAATGAGCACTTATTAAAAGTCCAAGCAGACAGATGTGATTTTAGCAAGTAATTATGCTAGATAAAACCGTTATGCGCATGCATCATCATGTGTGCGGTGTACTGTACCTGTGATGGCATGATGAGAGAAGGCCTCTACATAGGTTAGGTAGTTGTGAGGGCAGTGTTTTTTAAGCCACTTGCAGACATCCTGCTGTGTCCACAGCACCACAGGTTTGGACAGACTGGACAGCGTAGGACTGGTGTGATACACAGTGAAGGCTTCACCTGGACGCAGCTGAAAACACACAAAGAGCAGTGAACTCTATAGTAACTGATGTACTGTAGCCGTAATAATAACAATAATAGTAATAGCAAGACAAATCCAGTAAACAAAGGTATGTGTGTATTTGTGTTTTAATTTGTACTATACAGTATGATGCAAATTGGAATATTGCCTTTTATTGCTTTGTTTTGCTTCACATAATCACCTTGTGACTGTGTTAGCTTTCTTAAATATGCAACATGGTGGATTTTCTCATTAATGTAAAATTAGCTGGGGTGATGCTTTCTAATGCTATAGTTTGCAACAAAATCCCTTCTGGTTGTCAACTAAACCCATAATAGTAAAAGTGCAGAGTATGAATAAAGTAATGGAGTCGAAACACTGCGTAACTTGCACTGTTGTAAGTCTCATTTATTACAGATATGAGCCAAACATGTATTGCAGTGTTATCTATTCCACATAATCATTTCAAAAGGTTGTTTACTCTCTTGTGAAACCCATACAATTCTTATTATGAGCTCAAATATAAATTAACAGTGAATGTTAGACTTTTGCCTTTAAATTCTAATTTAAAATGATACACATTTCCACTGTTTCACTATATCTACTTATTTTAATGCTATACAATATGACACTTCACTCCTCTGTCAACAACATATCTTTGTGCAGTAATTGCATTCTGTCTATTATTTTCACCAGCATGGGTGTTAACGTTTTGGCTGCTATGGCCTTTTTCTGGAAGTAATTTTCCCTGACAGCAGTACCTTCATTAAAGAGTCATCAACAACATTAGTGTGATTCTGTCATCTTTATCTTTCAACTACACACCTTTCTTCAATTTCACTCCCCTTCTTTGCACACTTTCCTCTGACCCCTGAAAGTTGTTAGACAGCAGCTTTTCCTTTGTGTATCAAGGCTATGCGTGGGGAATTAATATGGACGCTAATAAAGTCATAACCAGTTCACACTGGCAGAAAACAACAATTTCCTTGTCCCCTCAGCTTTCTCTCTCTTGTGTTATACTCATATCTAATCCATTCATTCATGCTCTGACTGAGCCAACTCTACAACAAAGGCGCTGGCCAATTTTCAACAGAAAAACACAGAACTGCAGCCAAATGCTCCACTCCATAACTGACTGCATTTAATGGGATTATGTATGCTGAAATGTCACACACACAAATGCAAGATGCACACACTCATCAAGCCTCATTCCCAGTGTTCGTCCTGGTGCTTTCTTTTTAATGACATAAAGACCAACTCCCAGAAAACCTTCACATCTCAATATGTGACAGACACAGGTTAACAACTATTTGTATCTTTACCAGCTGCTGGAATGAGATCTCCTACTGTCAATTTCAGCACCAATCAGCCCTATCAAGTTCTGGCTGGTCCACTAGCTAAGTACGTTCTGCTTTGTAGGCCTTAATTGAAAACAACTCCATTTCTCCGCTCCAGTGTGTTTTCTCCTTTCCTAATTACAGACATACTACTACCCCAACTCAACACTGAAGTCATTTTAATAACCAAAACGTACTGCTTGACCCCCATCATTAATTGAGTTTGAATTGGGAGAGGTATGGAAATGCTTGTTCTTATGGATGATTGAGTGCAGACAAGAGAGGGTAAAATACTCCCTCTTCTTTGGATGGCCTTAACGCCTGCATGCAGTGGAGCTCCCAGTCTGCTGATTTAGTCCTTGTCACCTTTACAATACTCACACTGACATAGGCGAGTAAATATTGGAGCGAGTAGGCTCTACAAATGCCTGGACAATCATTCAGAATGCTACATTAAACAAGACAAATAGATCTTTGTCTCGAGCATGTCAAAGGCAAGAAGACATTTTGTTTTTACACTTTGGCTTTTAAACAAATTAATTATGTGCTGACACTTATAGGTGCTGAATTTTGTTACCTTTGGAAAGTGTAAGCTGTAATGTTTATAAGGAACTGTCTATGAGAGATGGAGGACAGAGAGGAGGAAGAGAAAGAGAGGAAGGTGGAAACTATATACTATATATTTTTTAATAAGTGCCTAAAGAGCTGGAGCAGCGAGTCAAACTGTATTTAACCAATATTTTCCTATTATTTGGATTTAAAGTCAAAAGATGAGCAAAAGCAAAACACTAGATCATTAATATTTCTATTCTATATTGTTGTTGTTGTCTTTATATCAGTTAAACCAATTAGGTTTTCAAGGTGCTATACTGTACCACACTATGCTTTCATCTTTATTGAAACTGATGCAAACACTCTGAATAAGTTATAGTCAACTAATATTTTTAGGTTTCCTTTGTTATTCATTCCCCTGTTTTGCTTCCCAACACAACTTTTTTCCTTCTACTGTACACCAATACTTTTCTGCATGTCTCTATTGATCAGCCTGTTTGTATCCTCGAACAGCTTATTGGTCTTCCCCTATTTATTTTGTTCTATCATGTCGCTCATCCTCTACTTGCTCCTTATAAATTTGATCCTCTGCCTGCCTGACACCCTCCCTCCTCCCTCCCTGTCCTCCCCTTTTCCTGCTTCCTCCGTTCAATCTTTCTTCTACCTTGACTTCTGTGCACCAAGCTGCTTTTTGTTCATTTAAGTGCCTGTGTGTGTGTGTGTGAGTGTGTATGCATGCCCTGCCACTGTGCGAAGCTGAATCAGGGATTAGCCGAAGTCAGGCGAGCGTGGGGAATCCTTAAAATTCACTCTTTGTGACTGATAATACTTCTCTTTCGATGCCTGCCTCTGTCTCTGCACATCCAGACCCTGCATGAGGTTGATCGATGATGCTACGCTAATCAGGAATAAAAATCTGAATATGTGTCTGTGTGTCTTACAGCACGCACATCATGTACTGTAGCTCAAACCTGCCTTTTACTCTCTTTTCTGCTGTCACTTTATCTCCTCACATGATAGTAAACACTCCTCTATCTTTGTTGTACACTCTGCTCTCTAACAACTCTCTCTTCATATCACATCTACTGTACTTATCTAATGCTTTCTCTGCTGAGAACGAGATCTTCACTCTGACAGATCCTGACACAGGATCCTTCATATGTCTTTCACACGTCTTGCCCCAACTTCACATTTCATCTTAACCCTCATTCCTTTCCTCTTAGTAACCCTGAATCTTCCTCCATGTGTCTGTCAGTTTATACTGCATCTTTTATCACCTTTGTGGTGCCCACTGCTGAGTCTAGCCTTGTGCGTATGTGTGGTTGAGTGTGTCACTGTGTATGTGTTCACTTTTGTGAGTGTCCGCTTGACTGTTCCTGTGTGGTTGAGTGCGTGAACTGTCAAACTCTGTTAGCTTTGTACAACTCTGCCTTTGACTGTCCTCAGGACTCAGTGTGTATATGTGCACTCATGTATATGTGAGTGGGCTCTCAGTAGGTGGACAACGGGCCAGATGGGATTTTCACAAAGCTCTCTATTTAGCATGAGTCAAACATGTGTCTTGGGCAGGGCAACACAACCCTGAGGGGCAGGACAGGGACAATACAGACTAAAGCATTTCTGCCTCTCTGCCTAGCAGCCCCCTTTATTTTTCTCTTTGTGTCTCTACTGTGTCTTTCAATCCACAAGACTCCACTGCATCATCACTACGCCAACGCAGCCACTGGACGCTTCCAAGCAAGCGACAAAATACAAAGACAAAATACATCATTTGTCACTGAATTGCGCAACAATTCTTGTAAACATTTTCTGATCTGTTGCCCCTATTTTCAGGATGAAAACATGATGGGGTGTTTGTCTGTGCCTTTCAAAAATGACCTATATTACAAAACCTATTTACTGTATATGAGAGCTGTCTGATCTGCCACCTTTGTGGTTAAAGGTTGTTACATTTAGGCAAATGAAAATGCACTTAGTTAAAGCTACTGGTTGTAAGGGTTACAGGAAACAACAACAAAAAAAGAAGATTCACCCTCTGGGGACCATGAATATCTAAAACAAAGTTTCAGCATAATAGAGTACATCTAATTATTTTTGAGATATTTCAGTCTGGACCAAAGTGGTGGAACAGGCAGACCAACACTGCCATGATGAGTGTATGATATACAGATTGGTGCAGAGCAACATATTGATGCTATGTCACCACAGTAGTGCACACTAGTTTAATGGCATCACTCCGTTTGCATTGTCACAGCAGACAAGAAGAATCAAAGCAAAAGTAAATAATAATGGATTCCATGTACAAATTGGTAGGTAAAACAATACACATAGAGAACAAATGGATTTTTCACACCTTGTTGGTATGTTTTCACTCACATTTCAAGCAGAATAACAATTGATAAATGATAAATATTACATTGCGAATGAGAACAAAATATAGATTTTTGCAGTGTATCTTGGAAATAGGCATAGCTACACCCATTTATGTACCCTACACTTGGTTAGTACTGCAAACACTTTTGTGTTGGGAGTATCTGATGAGTGATAACAGCCGTGTTTGAACATGTATGAACAAGAAACATATATATATAACTGTGATATTGGTTCAACCTCTCTGCTGTCACTCTTTCTTGCCTCTGCTAATTGTCTGGTCTGCATCAACATAACTGTGTGTTCCAGTCGAGGACAGGTGTCTGCATAGAACTGCATAATGTGTTATATTAGTTTTGTTAACAGATAAGGAAGATTCCCCAGGTGACGCCTTATATACAGAAGCTGAGTTGTAGTTCACTTAACTGGATCCCTCATTAAAGCTGATGTGTGCACAACCAATGTGATGGAGAATATTTTAATTATAATTCCTTAGCGAACTGGACACATAAACACTAATCCAAAGAATCTCTCTCACACACGCACATGCATATGCACACACACACACACACACACACACACACCCATGAACACAAATGCTTAAAATTACAGATGCACGAATGGACACTGAAACATTTTTTGAATGCACACATATCAAAGAGAGCTGGACTGCTCCCCCATTTGTTGAATAATGCATAGAATCTTGTTGCCACAAGGAAATGATAAGCCTTACATCTAAGGTATAGAGGTGGTTGAATTATCTAGTCTCAGTGTAATCACAAGGAAAACGCTTTCCACTTGTCTTTTATTAAACTTTTTATAGCTGTTCTAGCTGAGGGGGGCACCTTTTTATGAATTATTAAACAACCTTGCAGTGCACACATACATCTGGCCTCACAGTAGCAAACCTTCTTAAAGGCAATCAGGAAACAAACGACCTCCAAAGGGCTATTTGCTCTCTTTCATGTGAAGAGTAGTCAGGGAAGATGGTGTTGTGTCATATGCTGTTTTAGGTCAAACACAGGCAGACAGCCTTAAAATAAATGTTGCCCCTTTTTGGTGCAGCACAGATGGGATTCCAATTTTCACAAAACCAATGTGTAGATGTAAATGATGCTCTGGCTGCTATGCTTACATTATACTGCTAAGACATGGAGCCATGAAGCAAACACTTCTTACCAAGCCAGCAGCATTAAAATGGCTTTCATATAAGGGGAGAAAAGCATGCATCTATGTAACTGTGTATTTCTGAAAGTCTATATTATGGGCAGAATGTGTTCTCTTGGACTGTACAACAGCTATGACATCACAAGCCAAGGAGTAAGAGTTGTCCTATCCCTCCTCTGTTACAAAACCAGTTTCTCTCTAGTATAATTCTTGACAGATTCAGGTATCAGATTCAGCCATCATATACAAGGTAAAACAATTTGACTTCTTATTACCTCTGAGGTTTGACAGCTACAGATCTACCACTGACACTGATGCCCTGATTCTCTCTTGTCTTTCTCATGATAACAGTTTCTCTTTTACAGTATAGGTATGGTTTTTCCCCTGCCCAGGTTAGGACTGTTTCATTGTGCCACTCTTTTTTGTTATATAGTTAAAAACATTGCTTTGAAAACACATAGCTTTTATGAGCTACCAACAGACAAAGCACCCCTCAAGAGAAATGATCTCTTAACCAAACTACTTAAGATGTTCAAAGTACTACTTTAAAATATTTCACCTAGAATTGTGATGTAACTTAATACAAAATCAAACAAGTGAACCATAATATTAATTTGAACTTACTTTACAGCATAAAATAAGTAATGTTGTACTTGGGACCCCAGTGGGTATAGAACTGATTCTTTGTGAAAAATCCAAAGTCAGTGCCAGATTATGTGTAAAGCATGACATGGCCTCAATAGTGAAATCATGAATTATGGTTTGGGTCTCAGAACTTTGCTTTCTCTGTCTGTATTTGTTATAGAATAGCCTGTCCAGTGCTGAGCTGAACATTTGGTCATTTATATGCAGTGAAAACACTCCTCCACACTGCTTCTGTTCTGTTTGTGGACGTCTTTATACCTGGACGCCCTCTGTGCCGGGCTGCTGCAGTAGTTTGACGGTGCGTGTGTGTGCTGTCTTCTGGCTGCAGCCATCGTGCCAGGTCAGGTTGCTGCCTCCGGCACGATGTGGCAGCTGGTAGCTCAGCTCCTCAGCAGACATCGTGTGCTCCAGGGAGGCACGGCAAAAGCTGAAGCTGGACGCAGCTGAGAGGAGAGAAAAGAAGAAGAAGAGGAGAGAAAAACAGAAAAAGACACATAGATGAAGAAGAACAAACACTGATGAGTACTTACTTTATCATCATTGTTGACAGGCTTTGCATGCATCGTCTATGAACTGAGCGGGAAAACATGCGCAAAATAAATCAATAAATAAATTATTGATAATCCTCTAAGAGCTTAACAGGCTTCACATTCAGTTAGTACACACTTTGTGTACTGACTCTCATACAGCTACAAACAGATGGCTGCTTTGGTTGACAGTGGTGGACAGCCGTGATATTCCACTCCAATTATGCTGAGTGCATATTCACTGCAGAGGGAGCACAGGATTTTTAGAATTGTGTCTTTCTTGCTAGATTAGTCGTTGATTATTTAAATCCTAAACATAAATATTTGATTTTTTTCTTCCCCCTGTCTCTTTAAACAAAACAGTGTCAGAGCCTTCTTTGAGAAAAGCCTAATTTCATCTCCCACTAATGATTTCTTAATTTCTTTCCCTCCCTCCTCCTTGGAGACCAGATTTTAAAAAAGAAAGACCAGATTTATTTGAACTCACTATATAAAGTTTCACAGGATCTTTACAATATGCTCATCCATTTGTCTTTTTATTATGTTGCTCTTTTTAGATGATTTTTGACCCAGTGGTCATTTCCTATATTACTGTACCTCTTTCTAAATAAGCAGAGGTGTGTAAAGATATTATCTAAGATGTGAAAATGGATGTTAAAACAGAGAAAATGAGCTAAGCTTGCCATTTCTCTCACCAACAGTGGAAAATAAGCCTTCCTGGCCTATTCCCATTTTAGAACTGCACAAGAGACCACAGAAACCTCCTGTATGACTACTGAGGCTTGTGGGAGACACTTGGCAGCAGATGAGAGGAATGGGGGGGAAAAAAACACTTTTTCTCAACCCAGAAATCTGTTCAAGTGAGCAGAGGTGCATGCAGAGTTCACATAGCCATGATGGGGAATGAAAAAGAAGGTGAAAAAGAAGAAAGACCTGCCAGGAATCACTGATGTGTAACCTTTTTTTGCCTCTCTCCCATCATATCCCTCTTTCTCTCTGTGCTCTCTCACTGTGCTTCCTGATTTCTCTGTTGCTATTTTTGTATCATCTTACACAACAGCATCTTTCTTGTTTCCCCTCTTCTCTCTCTGTCTCTTTCTAGTTGTCAGGTCGTTGGGGTTATTGGGACAAACCAGGCCAACCCCTGATGTAATTACTGCCAGTCAGACTTTGGGCAGGAGGAGACAGGAGGAAGGGACAGTGGAAGTGCCTTGCAACCCTAAAGACCTGCCAATCTCACAGAAAGAAATGAGAGAAGGTGCAAAATCAAGAGCAATTCAGACAAGAGAGAGAGAAATAGAGCAGTGCTGTAAAATAGCCCTAGATCCATGTAAACTGACAGTAAAGTGGTCAAACTGTAACAAAGTAAAAGAACTCGAGGAGGGGGTGGGGAGACACATTAAAAAACCACAGTACAGCTTTATTTAACAAGCTGTTAAAGCCAGAGATTTCCAATTAAGAGAGGGACCACCTAACTGTTTATAGACATCTCTTTTCAAATGAAGAAGTAGAACATGATGACTTCCCATTTCCACTTAAATCTCAGTTTCTGCCACATTGCCAGACCTTGCCACCTCCAGCAGTCGTAAAATGAAGACAAAGCACTCATTCTGCGAGCTTTAATAGACTTGTTCGGCTTAACATGCTGGCTCGGGGTACAGCGAAGAATTTAGAACCAGCCAAAAGTGATTAAATATCCATATCTTTCTACTGACATCACTTTTGAAATTACGCTGCAATGTATGCCACTTTTAGAGTCGCAAAATTACTGAGTTACAGTCAGTTAAGGAATCAAAAAAAAATATCCAGTGGTTGAGTCCATTTTAAAGCCTCAGGAATCTGGGACTTCAACAGCCAAGAACTGAAGAGAGAAGAGTTGCTGGTGTTAGAGGTGCCAGAACCAAGGGCAAAGTGTCAGGCAGGTGCTCGTGTGTGTGTCAGTGTGTGTGGAGGGTAGGTAGGTCAAAACACTCAGCCCAGTGAAGTGTAATCTCATATCACCTCCTCCTGACTGAGCAGCATATCTGTGGTGCAGAATGGCTGCTAAATCTCAAAGGTATTCCCTTTTGGAAAAGGTAATTAAGCTGTTAGGTACGGCACCCCAGAAGGTCACTCCAAGCCAAATCCCTCAATAGATTAACATGGTATCACTAGACATTACTCATTTGACTCCAAAAAAACGATCATCTATAAATTGGTCCGTGCAAACTCTTTTGCTGTGTAGGACAAACTTGGTATCAACTTCAAGGGTGCTAGTGTGTGTTTGTCTCATCCTCTCACAGGTAGGCAAGTGGTCTGGCTAATCCACTTTATTCCAGGCATCACAGGGTGCCATGGTGTATTTTACCAGCATGTTATTGGTTACATGATCAGCTCACTTCCTACCAAGCACCCCTTATTCAAATCAATCTTTTCTGTTTGCAGGCCATGTTTTGCAAGAGGATGAAAACTCGTGCAATGATTTTTGTGTCTCTGTAATGTACGTTAAACCTGGAGTATGAAATATAGCACTGAACAGACCAATGCTGCCAACTCTCTCTATGTCAAGTGCATCTTCCAATGAGCCTGATTTGTTGGCCCTATAGCATGTTGGTGCTAAAGTGAGGGCCTATTTACCACTCTTCCATTCCACCAAACCAGGCCTTAACCCCAGGAATGAGCCATAAAATTACTCAATTTTGAAAGAGCAAGGGAGGGAAAAAGACTAATCTGGTTGCAGCTTTAAAAATAAATATAAAACCCAGGACCCCAGGGGTTTTTCCCATGATGCTTTGCAGTCTATTATCCACAGTGACATAAGACATTGTTGCAAAGGCTGGGCTGAGGTTTACCTTTCACAAACCATCAGTATCATGGGAACACACAGATAGGGAAACAGGAGTAAACAATGGACATCCGCAACACAGGCTGATTGAAGATAACAACACAACAACTCTCATCAGGACACAGACGAGGGAAATGCCAGCTAAATCTATGTGTACGATTGGGTGTGTTAGTGAATGCCAGTATGCTCATGAATATGCGAATGTGATGAGGACTCGCATATCCACACATCAGTATAATCCCTGTTTGCTTTCGCTGAGGCCAGTGGATCTGAATAAAGCTGCAGAGAGCCCTTATATGCAACCATGTGGATGGAGGCTGAATTCTGGATCCAAACTGCAGGATGGTTATGGCTCACAGTGCACGGCCCAGAACACAGGTGTAGCTGATGTTTCTGTTATGATTTTGTTAGTCGCTGTAGAAGTCCAGCTGCACCCTGACAGTATAACAAAGGACGGTATAAGAAATGCCAGCCCGACCTTGGCTTCCTCCCTTTAGGCAGTGCTGTGAAAAAAACTGGAACGACAGGATGACTTTTATCCTCAAACTCTCAACTCTGGCCCCCACCACACTTCCACAGAGACAGAACTATTGATTATCCATCACTGTGTCAGAGAACATGCAATTACAGATCTCTTTAGATAAAACACACAAACACACACACACACACACAGATAGGCATACACACAGACACAGTCCATCTAACTCCTCCACTTGAGGCCACTGGCTGTCATATCCACTCTTGCTCAGTGCTCAGAGGATCTCGCTACATGTTTCACACAAGACGAGAAAAGGGAAGAACGACAGAGACAAAGAGATGGGATACAGGGGTCTGATATGGCCATGCCCTTTAAAGAGGATGAAAGAATGAAACTCGGGGTAAATGCAGGAAGAGAAAGACAGAAATAAGCAAAATGAAAAATCACAAAATTACACTTCAGACTAGAACATTAATATTAATTGTATCAGGGAATGAAGGAGGAGAAAGAGGGAGTAAAATGCTAAGGAGATTATATCATATTTTCTCCTTTTCATAGCCAAGTCCCCATACAATGACACATGAGAACAGATTAGATCTCACAATTGATCATTCAGAGCAAATGTCAGAAGAGAAAGAAGGAGGGAAGAGAAGGAATAGAAGAACAAGGCTGATTAATAGGATGTGAGATGTGAGCAGGTTTGATCAAGATAGGGAACCACAAGATTAACGTGTGCCTTTATATGTGCAATAGTAACTTGGTTATCTAGTGTTCTGGCTTATGCATTGTGAACACCCTGGTGCTGAGAATCCTGAAGTTCAAATACTAGTAATTAATTAAATTGAAAAATTGACTTTGGATTATGTAGACTGTGTTGTCCCTTTCACTTTCCATTACAAACAGAGATGTTATCCAGCAAAGTGGTGAACCTCAGATAACCAGAAACCAAATTGTATTGAGGATGTACAGTAACACAGTAGGTACAGAAATGAATTCTCAAAAAAAAAATCAAAGACATACCTGAACTATGATGACCAGAGTCCTTGATGTGTTATGATCATATGCATCATGAATGCTATATAAATAACCAGATTCCTCCATTCCATTTAAATATATCCAAAGTAAAATAAAAATGAGTCAAAAAACTGCAATACAAATGTTCATGTAAACATAATGATATTTCTATTAACAAAATGCATTTTTAAACTGTCTTTCAAATGTTAAAGTTACTATAGCTGTTTTTTTTTTATTATAACATTGTATCAAAGGACAATCTGGAAACTTGGAGACCATGTAAAAGGGTTCATTCACATTGAACCTATAGAGAACTATGACCTAAATGTGCAGCTCCCCATGCCTTTACTTAGGTTTTCAGTTAACTGTTTTGCTGTCAGGCTCAACACCTCACTGGCCAGTATCACTCTCATAGCTTTGTTTTTGGCCACAGCAAGTGGCTCATTTCAGTAAACATCTGTAACAACCCACTGTATCTTACCTGTTCTGCACCAAGTGGCAGGTGGATACATTTACAGACTAGCTGGTGAATAGAGTGGATCAAACAGCAGCTAAAAAGCCAAATATTGGAACTGGTAGAGTCCAAACAGAGAAAAAGTG